CATTTGGTAACTGTTCAAAAAGTGTTTGCAAGACGTACAGTAAGCCTAGAGACTTTCCCCAACCCCAGACCCCAGGATGCATCATGGGGGTAAACGGTAGTTGGATTCCTTGCAGTTCATGATCCAGTTCAGGCATTGGCAGTTTACTAAGACTGAGTCATTCTTGGCAAAATGGAGGAAAAAAGAGGAGTCCTTTACAAAAATTCACTGTGTTACATGTGCATGTTTGAACTGTACATGTACCGGTATACTTGTGTACAGTGTGCAGGGGAAGAAGGATTTTGAACCAGTGATGGCATTGTTGGCAATAGGGCAATAGAATTAGAAGAACGTACTGAACATCATGTAGGATCACCATAGATCAATATGGGATATCTTGAAAATAACGCTGGGTATGAAATTTTTCTGAATGTGGTGGCAAAAGGGCTGTAGTGAGTGGGAGGGATCCACAAATGGATTTCTGAATGCAAAAAAGTGGAGAGCCTTTTTCCCTATGAATTTGGTAGCTCGGCAAAAGTACATGTACTGTACATGTACCATGCAGTAGAGTATTGAAAGTGCTCAGTACACAGAATCTTGGCATTTAAGCATCATTAAGAGGGAAGACGGTTACTGCGAACAGCTTTACTTTGTGACTTGCCTCACGTGTCTTTGATTGTAAAAATGCATTTGGCAATGTCTCTTTGGACTCTGTGCCTTGCTAATGGCTTCCAGGACGTCTTTTTTTTTAGGCTGAGATTCTATTTTTGTTGCAGTGTTTTTGCCAAGGTTGCACTTAAGCTCTTTCGCATTTTTTAGCACTGCATGCTGTTTGCTATCTCCCCGACCCCACACCCACGGATGTGTTTGGCTGGCTAGCGCAGCGTGTCCATGTGCCATGAAATTGTCGATTTAATCAACTTGAATGCTTCTTCCATTTCACGCTTACTGTTCATGGCTAACAGTTATTGGAATCACTTAATGTTGAGTGGGGTGCATTTCCCATGGAGTTAGACTGGTACTGATATATATACGTATGTAGGGCTGCACTACATGCATAAACGACTGGTTACATGTCTTTGATAACTTTACATAAGACAGAAACCTCATCACAAGAAAAATTAAAATGCCATGCTCGTTTGTTTGGATGTCACCCCTAATTTGCATCCCTTAACCTTTTGTAAATGTTGGATCTGTTGCAGTTGAAAATGCATATATGCACGTACTGCCATCAATAACATGTAACTGCACGTCTCTGAGCAAAATGTGTACGATTTACATTTTTAAATACATCTTACCTGATTAAAAAAATGATCTTAAACAAGAAAAGGTTTTTCCACAGTAACAGTGTGTAAAATATTCCAGGTGAAGTGAAAGCCAAGTATATAAGGTTTGTGTCTCGTCATCTGTGGTTCTCCTCTGCTCATATCAAGCTGGTAGCGGTACATGCGTGACCTCTGCAATTATACCTTCATGTGCACTTGTGCCTTGCACAATTGTGGGGACATGTGTTTGTCTTCATGTATTATGTGGGGACCGAAAACGTTGTGGGAACAGAGAAATGTCCACACAACTTGGTCCTGATTGGCCACACAAAAATTTTTGTCTCCTTAATTTTACTTGGTGAATATACTCATCTGTTCATGAACAGATAATGAGTGAGCACGTCCATTACACACAATCTGGGTCAGACAGGATTTTTTTGTTCAATTCAATCCACCTGCTTCGATTTCGATCAGTTATTTTGATTCAGTGAAAGACTTTGATGTGAAGGAGTTTTGACAGGAGATTTGATGTGATCAGAGTTTGACATTGGTAAAGTATCAGTGTGCATGTACATCAACCTTTTATCTCCACAAGTATACACACATATTAGGCCTACCTGTAAATGGAAATTAGAAACGTTGGTCAGTATGCAATGAAACTAACACCACTAACAACGTGCTCTTAATAATGTGATTTTAATCAAGCATATGTCATCGCTCTATTAATCACAAAGGGGCTGGATCACAAACAAAACAAGAGTGTTTTTTGCACATATTACAGTAAGAGAAATACCTGCATTTCGCACCTAGACTACACTTACATGTACATACATGTAAACAAAATCAACGTACATGTACATGTGGTTCATGGCATGTTTATCAGTCATTAGTTATTCAGTACACGTAGAAGTACCCTGTTAACAACTCTTGTGAATTCTAATTTTGTCGAAACTTAGAGTTCAGATTTTTTATTTATTTTATTTATTTCTGATGACCAACAGCAGTTACCCGCCACTTACAGGCATCCACGAGAAATAGATAAAATCTCTGAATTAAATAACATACAATGCAAATAACCATAAAATTAATAAAAATTAAAACACTGACATTCCAAACTTGGCAAATTCTTAAGACACCAGTACAGGGCTGAAGAAGAGCAGGATATGCCTGGACAGACAAACAGGGCTCAGTAGACAGGTAGGGTATGCACTTTATCCTTGGTACATGGACCATACATGTACTTGTCTCTGAAGTGAAGGAAGTGTTGTCTCTGTGGGTACATACATGTACCGGTATATGCTATACTGCATGCATTGCACTGGGTTTAGACAATATTCAAGGTGGTTTGTGAATTGAGTCAATTACATTATGGAGGAAGGACACAAACTTGATATAAATTTCTTAATTCAAATCCAAATTTTGCTAATTTTGTAGCAGAAGATATAAATGAATGAAAAACAATACACATGCATCATGAAGATTAATACATCATTGAACCAAATTGTTTCCAATTTGGATGAAAATTAAAAAATTCCATTCAACTAAAAAACCCAGATTTTGTTTTTTAACAAAATGAAAAATTGCCCACCCTGGTGAGCCATGTCGACTACAGAAATGTTTGATTTGCACATGTCAATGGTGTTAAAAAATATTGCCTGAGCTACTGGTAGACATTCCCAAATTGCTCAAAGGATGCCTGGGGAAAATGAGCGCAACAAAATTTCACAGTTTTTCACTTCACACATGAAAAACCATCGTTGCTTGATGAGCGCATGGGATAATTGGCTGATCATCAAGATTGCAACCAAAATGAAAACCAACAACATGGGCATTGTTTTCTCAATACATGTATTGGCATTTCTCCAGTTTCATACATGTGAGGATCTCCTGCTTGGACAGTTACATAATCTTCGTGCATTCTGCAGTGTGTACTGTATACAGACTGTATTGTGACAAAGTTTTGTACAAACATGTACAATGCATACAGGTGTTAGCTAAGAGTCCTGTACATTTGCATACAGTACATGTACAGTACATTATGCCAGCTTCATGTACATGTGTTCTTGTACTGACCTGTCCATTATCGTTCAGGTTTGGCAGTGTAATAACTCTGTACAAATGTATGTATTTCCTCCAGTCTGTTTCCTACACCGGTTTGCATTTTCTTGGTGTGTATAATTTACATCTGAGGAGGGGGACCAGGGTATGTTTTTATTCCTTCATGGTATTACCAGCAGTATACTGGTACATGTACTTAAGGCATGATAAAGGCACGTGAGTAATCTTTGTCCCAACCGGATAATCTTGCTGTACCGGTAACCGTACATGGTATTTAATATTAGTCATCTTACCCAAAACTTGGAAATTTCTGGCCAATAGGTACACATGTATACAGCGCGGTACATATTGGGCACATATGGATGACTCATGGGTACGGTGAATAGAACGTGAACGCACAATACCCTTGTTTGCCAGGAGCTTGTCACCTGTAGGGGTAGGCACTAGCATTCTGGAGAATGGTAGATCTGTGGTTACACCAAAAGAAGAAAGAAATTGTCCTGACTTGTTTGGGAAATAATGGACATGTAACAGTAGACTGCCTTTTCTGTGGTTCCGTCTTTTTCCCAAGAAATTCCCGAATGGTTTCTTCCAAGTTAAGCAGGTGGTTATCTGTTGGGTGATAAATTGTCACGGAGAGGTGTTGATGGTGAAATTAGGCATACATGTACCGATACCTGCTGTTGGCAAAAGAGTAATGTTTTCCACCTCATTTGCAGATGTGTTTGTTAATTTGTAACAAGTAGTCCTGTTTATTGAAAATGTTAAGAAATGGAAGAGCAGACGGTGGCTTTGCGTGACTCCACTCAACCGGGTCAATAATTACTGTTCCTAGCAGGTGGTTGTCTGGGCGACGACCATAAATAACACAAAAGTTTTATGCGGTATGGCTTCCTAAAACCATTTATGTATAGGGGTTGCAGCCAGCGGCGCTGTGTCTGCGTGTAGATACATGTATATATATAGAATATTTTCCTGTCTGGAAAACCTCCTTGAGTCTCAAAGCCTATTTTAAGAGGAGGAAAATGAAAAGGCTGTTGGAAAAAATTATTTTTCAGTTGAATACAATTTGCACAAATACATACACGTACATGTATACCATAGTCTGGAATCAGCACATCTGGCATTATATTGCCATTGAAGCAGAGATAACATCTCTACCTTTTAGTTTCTTTGTGCTATTTCGTTCAGCTGTAATTAATGCATAGTGTAAATGTGAACACTGATATTCTTCACTGTATAGCGGTACTTTGCCATACGTGCACACTGTGCCATGCTGTCACTTTAGTTTCTCATTAATAATGTCACAGACGTGTGGGTGAGTACAAGAGCATATGGTGTATATGTACATGTACGTCCATGTCTTCCAATTGTTATATCACAGCGGGCAGTATTAGATAACAGTCTTTGGTCACCAAGGAAGAAGGTCATATTTTCTGGAAAGAGATAAAATATTCTGTAAACTGAATCTTTGGCGATCTAGGAAACATGAGTAATACATGTACATGTGTACTGTGAACGGTGTTACTCATAGACATGTGACTCATGCCATGGTTGACATTTTTCAAGAACCAGACATGCTCATCTGATTGATGTCTTTCTGTGAAGAAATCCCCCAGTGAGGGTTGTGATTCACAACTGAAATTCAAAAGTTCAAATTTGTTTTCTGCACGTTTGATTGCCTGGTCGATTACGTAGAAATCCATCGGTTTAGGAGTTGAGCTGTGGTGACAGCAGAGCCTTCGAATGCCAGTCCCGAGAGGCTATTCAGGAAGGTTGAGGTGAACGGGGTCACACGCCATGGGCAGCACGTCATCCAAGTTTCGCAAGGCGCTGCACGCCGGCGACGAGAAGCTGGCTGAGGAGTTGTACCACGGGAGCGTGGAGTTCCAGAAAGCCTTTGACCCCAACACGTCCTATGGGGAGAATTACAGCCACAACACGCCGCTGCACTATGCAAGCCGACATGGAATGCACAGATTAGTTAGGTAGGTGCATCTTGAAGCTGACATCGTTGGCTATAAAAACCTGTAGAGGTGATGGCCATATTATGTCTAGAACCCTCTTGTCAGGCCTATATTGGTATTACAGGCATATACATGTACATGTACATACATTTACATGAACATGTACCGTACTGCACATGTTGACACAGTATGCAGATGTGCTTTCCAAGAACTGGGGGCCAAGGCAGGAATTTCTGCTGCTAGAATGTATAAAGTAGCAAGTGGCAATGTTAGATGAAATATTGAACCTGGTTATACATGTACATGCACTTCGTATATTCACTGCTTAATTAGTGGTTAAAGAATGTCTGAATTCAGAAAGCAGATATTGTGAGTACGAGCTACTGTCTTTTTAAGTTGCTTCCCATTATGCCCAGCTTGAATATGTACATGTACCAGTACATGATGATACTGACACAACCAAAAATTAGACTTGGCATTTAACCCCATAAGGTTGCATTTCTCCTTGATGTTTAGAACAAAAGATCTATATATTGCACAGTTTTCTAGCATGGGTTTGGTAACAAGACACAGCTTTTTTGTTTGGCGTCAACATTTATCATAAATTTTAAAACAAGCTTGTAGGATAACCACTTGAACTCCAGTTCGCTGGAAACCTCTCCAAATCTTCAAAAAAAACCAGTTGCAATTTTAAAAATACTGTCAAGAGGCATCCAACCTCACATACAATGTACATGTACATTGTAGAGTCCTAACAACTGTTCCTTAAGCATGTGTACAAAATCTGGCCAAATGTGCCCCGTGGACTTTGAGTAGTCTTTAAGGTTAGGCTTGAGGTTGCTGTTAGCTCTTGTTACCTGTCTCGTCACAGGATTTTCATGCAGCGGCACAGCGGCAATCCCAACAAGCGCAACAGTGACAACCAGACGGCGCTGCATTGCATCTGCATGGAGGAGCAGATCCGGCCGCCGTCCACCTACAGCTACTCGCAGTACTACTACTCGCAGCCGCCAGAGAAGAAGCGGCTGGAATGCCTACGGTTGGTGCTATCGTGGCGGGGCATCACCATGGGGGAAGGAGAACGCGAGCAGATCCAGATTGATGCGGAAGATGAGGTAGGTTGCATAGATTTGGCAGTCTATATTCAGGGTTGCATATATGACTGAATCTCACAAAATGAGTCTTCGGCACAATTTTTTCTTTTTCAGAGTTTGGATTGCAATTGACTGACGGGACTATACTCCTCACTTTGACTCCTCACTCAGTTTGACATGTGCTGATGAATGTGGAAATCGTGGTTGTGAAAATGTTGATGGTCCTTATTGGTTTTCCCTTGTGGAAAGTTTCTGTTGTGGAGTCTGTTAATCAGAAATGGCTCTGGTGACTTCTCCCTTATTTTGTTGGTTCTGGTTAGAATGTTTCAAATGGGTATAGTACGCACCGTTCAAATGTTAAAGCTGTTCTCCAGCCACGTATGGGCCTCAAGCTGGACCAGGAGAGGGCGCTATTTGCTTAGCAATGAAGGCTCCTTTGGTACTGAACTGCTCTTAGTTGGTTCACAAACGACTATGAAATGCACTTGTCACGGTTGCATCGCTACCAACAAAATAAAAGCTCCCGACCAATGCGGCTTTTTTCAACCAATGATGGAGTGCTTCTGCTTGAGGCAGATACACGTACCAGACGCTCTGAACACAGGTTGTTTCCAGGTTCTAAGTGTGTCGCACATTTCCATCTAGGTGTTTTTGTCCATTGGGCAGCGACTGTTATGACAGATTTAATTGAAATTGTGAGAAACGTGATTGGGTTTCCAGTCCTGGTAGTGTTACAGAAACTGAGGCGGGGTTGGGGAGGGGTAGGAAAGGGAGCGGAAGGAGGAGGGGAGGACGAGTACAGGGATGCATGTGACTCAGTCATTCGATCTTGTGACTCACGAGCTGTGACCTTGGGCAAACCACTTCACCCCTACATGTACACGTACTTGCCTCTCTCCACCCTAGAGTACCGAATTAATGGGAATCTGTGGACGGTTGTTGTGTTTGATGAGCCGTGTGTGCCTGATATGGCAGCAGTACGCTGTATCTCCCCTGGGAGCTTAAATGGTTAAAGTTTGTGGTTTGATGAAAACGGATATCCTTGGGTAATTTGGTGCTACATGTATGCAATGCAATCATTATCTTAAAATGTACAGGTAACCTTGACTCATCATTTTTAAAAGAGTCCATGCAGTGCACTTATCATCAATGCCTCATGTCAAGTACACTTCTGTAAAACACACATCAACTACATGTACGAACATGTAATATGCCACCAATCCTTTTACCCACGTGATTATAAATTTCATCATTTTTTGAATATGTATACGTATACTGTTTTTGGCAGTAAATATTTGTTGCTGAAGGGCAGCTAAGAAAAGATCCATAAATTTTCTTAACAGAGCAGAATTTTTATTGACGTTTTGGGAAAATTCAGCCTAAGCATGATGTCTAACTGATGGATGTGTGGGCAACTTGTCACACTTCTCAAAAGAATGAAAAAATGTACTTCTTGCGATACATATAGCTGGTATTTTTTCCTATTTCATTTACACTGCAAAAGCATTCCTTATTTAAGGTACTGGATTCACTTGCTTGTACGGTGTATGAATATTTCCAACCATGCACTATCATGCCGACATTCTTTTGGCAAATTCTGAAGGAGAACTCTTGTGGCCAAACTTTAAATAATGTTTGACATTTGTTCAATTTTCAGGACGGTAACACCGCTTTACACTATGCAGCAGGATCTGGCTACCTCTCCTTGGTTGAGGTAAAGTTACAACTTGTCATATATATGCATGATGTATGTACGTATACATGTAAGTGATGTAAAATATAAATTAAGGAAGCACATTAACTACATGTATTTATGTGTACATCGCTCCTCCAAAATGACGGCAGAAATCTCTCAATTTGGCATACATGTAATTATTAGAATGTCTGACGACAGTTTGAAAAATGCAGTATAGCCAAAGTAATCGGCATCTGTAGCAGTCCCATGGCATTGGAAGCATAAGTAGAGATAAAACTTTAATGCACAGCATGTGAACGATTCATGAATAAAATACAAAGAATAGATATTACATGCATGTATATTTACATGTTAAATACAATGCCACAACTGCATCATGTACATGTATGTATGTACTTGTACATGCATGGTACATGTACATGTACAAGTTGTTCGCAGCGTGTACATGTGTATATATCCTGATGCACATATCAATCTTGGTGTTGTGAATTGCATCTGTTTGCAAAAAAGGTGGCATTGCGACGGCAAGTCTGTATTCGCTGATCGTTTACAATTGGTCTTGCATTTCAGTGCAGTGTGCACTGAAATGTAATGTGTTGTGATGCCTGTTTCATGCACATGTATATGTATCAACAGGTTTAGTGCCCTTTGCTTTGTGTGCTATCCTTATACTGCATGTACTATTCATCTGGTGCTGCTCCCTGCACTTCTTTGTGTTTGTTGTTCTTGTCTCCCCTCATGTCTCTGCATTTTGCCTTGTGCAGACTGTCTTCACCTGGACTTTATAGGGGTTGTTATGAAAGCTACATGTAGCCTTTGGTTTAGTTCTTTGCTTTATGTAAACTGCAGTAATCCTTACTATGAATACTGCCATTTCAGAAAATGACACAAATTATCTGCCGTGTCCTGTACATGTACTGTATAGTATGTGTGTTCGTGTCTAGGTTGTCATACATGTATGGGCACACAGATGGGTTGTTGAATAGGATGACATCTGAGCTCTTTTTTGTTTGGTTTTACTCCCCGCTTTTTGTCTTGTCTTAGTAGACCTCCTGTAGACCTAAGGAACTCACAATCAGTGTTGTAGTCGAGTATTTTTTTCTGAGTACAGAGTACTGCCGAGTAAATTGGCTCGTATCTGAAAGTCCAAATACTTTACCCGCTGAGTACAAGAACTGATTTTCAAGTACGAATACTTCTGTGTATGAGTATGAGTATTTGTTCCTCCGAGTATGAGTATTTGTTCCTCCGAGTACGAGTACTTCTAATTATGAGTACAAGTCAGAGTACGTTAAGTCTGGGTAAATAGTCAAATTTGTGTGTCAAAATGTTTAAATTAATTTGAACAATGGATCTACAAACCTTTTTGCAACTGATTGTTTTTATTAAAATCTGCCATAGCATTCCGAAATCAGCATGCTTAGGTGGTTACAGATTATATTAAGTCCCCAAACTGTGTACGGAACTTGTATCTTAGGCTCCTTGGCAAAACACAGAAGTACAACATTTATACGGCAACAGAAAAATCATTGGTTCCGATGCACTGACAACAGTAATTTGAACCTTTAGGCCTACTCAGAGGTAAAATATAAAAGCATCAAGAATAAGCAAATGCCGTTGATGCATGGCCCAATTTCACAGAGCTGCTTAAGCACAAAATTTGCTGAAGTGCCAAAAAACCTGGCTCAGAAACAAAATGTAACACCTTAAACTCTGTGTGATTATCATGCCAACCAAAGAACAAGTAAATAACATTCCGGAACAATGTTTGTTGTCTGTGAAGATCAATTGTCTTGAACCGTTGCATTTCATTGACCGTCACAGGATGTAAAGGATTTTTTTATTGAGTACTGTTAATCGAGTACAAGAATTGTTGTTTGAGTACCAGTACTTGGAAATTTTAAATTTCTTACTTGTACTAATAGTAAAGTAAGAAACGAGTATTCTGAAAGCAGTACTTGAGTATTACTCAAGTACAAGTACCGTGTACGAGTACTATAGGATTGCTCGCATAACAAGGATTGCTCGCAATCCTTGTTATGTCTGTCATTGTCTGTCTTGTTTTGTGTCAGCTGCTAGTCAGCTGTGACAAGACCTGGCATTGCTTCCAAGTAGCCTCTGGTTTGTAGACTGTTTTCTGATCTCCGTAGAGGAGCATTTATCCCTGTTAGGGTCAATTCTGATGTGCTTTGTAATGCCTCCTTTTTTCGACCAGATGTTGTTGGAGCATAACGCATCAATGTTTGTTGAGAATGCCGACAAGGAGACGCCGTGCGATTCTGCCGAAAGACATCAGCACGTAGTCATTGCTCAGCTCCTGGAGTCCAAAATGGTCTTCTCATCGGTCAGTGCAGTACTTCTCTGCTAATCATTTTTAGGCATTGAGGGGGTTGAGAATGATAGCTTCCCTACATTGTACCATCGGCCCATATTACTTTAGTTTATTTTCCAGTCTTTTTCATGCATTTTCTGTTTGTCTAATTTTTTATGACGGGTTTTCATGCCACCTTTATTGGCAATCTTTCTTTATTGGATAATCTCAGGTTTCTTGTACTTTTAAGGAACAGTTCCACGAATCAACATCATTTCAAATTCTGCTTCGTTGTCGGATATGCTTTTAAGAACACAATAAAAAACTAACATGGGTTTGAAGAATGCTGGATTCAAGCATATGGATTTTAAGTCAGAGCTTCGAGATCATGTGCTCCTGAGCTATATTGGTACATGCACTCTGCAATGAGGAATGATTTCATTGATAAATTAGTTTTCAGTGAAAGGATGTTAATGGAAAAAATAACCAAACCCATTTCAGTGTGCTTTTCTGTGTTTTTAATGTTCAGAAACTGACAACATGTTCCTAGAAGTCAAGTCAAAAATTTTCCAAGACATCCTCAACTAAAAACTGATTGTCTGAAATTCAGTATAAAGTACCCAGAGACATTTCAGATGTAGAGTGCAATTTGGTGTGACGCGTCAGACAAAGTTTCAATTTGCCAATATGAGACTGTCAGCATCAATGACTCAATTATATTCCAAAGAAATTACCTCCATTTCATTTCATTCCTTCTTTAAGTTTTGGGCGAAGTCCTCTACTTTTCCTCCATGAGTACATGCCTATATTTTTATCTACATTGTACCCTTGTACCATTGTACCCTTGCATTGGAATTGATGTTTGCATTTCTTTTTGCTGTCAAATTATCGTATTTTATTTCAATTGCATTAGAGTAACATTTTGTTGTTGTCTATGATTATATTTTTCCACATGTAATGAATCTCCATCTGTACATTTGCTCTGTTTGTCTCTGTAATTTTTGATGTTTTGTGTTATTTTGTTTGATTTTGTTTTGTTTGTCTTGTTTGATGTATGGCATCTCCTTGTAAGCCCTAGGCTTCTGAGGTATGCCACCATATTAACCTTTCGTTCTTGATTTACTGTTCTTATGAAGAACATGCTTCCTTAATCTTTTGTAAATTTTTTATATCAAAATTATGGCAGTATGGAAATAAATATTGTTGATTGTGTTTCAAGGGGATATTAGGCATTGGCTACAAAACCTCACAAAACCTTAAGACACAATAAACAGTGCAAAGAAGATATTTAGGCTACATTTGAGAAAACAGATTGTGTGGCAGGATTTTTGATCTCTCCCACAGCCGGCCAATGAGGAGGAGGCTGTAGAGGAAGTGGGTGCAGTGCAGTATGAGGAGGTGAGATACTAGACTTTTGTCTTGAATATCAATGGGGTTAAGTCTAAGACTGTGTCAGAACGATGTGGCTTTGGCTTAGAATTTGGCACGGGTCTGTGTTTTTGGCTGCAGCCAGTTCCCATAGAGCAGTGTGTAATTTCAAGTTGCAGCCAAGTAATTCCAACATGGCTTTTCAAGTACCTTATGTACCGTTGGCCTTTTTGTTTAGCCATGGCCTTAAAACAGAAGTGTCATAGTCAAGTTTGAAAACTTATGTACATGTACAAGATTAGGTTTTTCTAATAAAACATGCTTTAATCATGATCATAACAGTACAAAAAATATGGAATTAAAATGTTAGGATTCCTTGGAAGCAAATGTACTAACAGACTCTTCCACTTTTTTGGTGTTGGTCGTTTTTTCCTAATATCTTTAAGGAATTTCAATGGTTGCCTTCATGTTTGTGTTATCACTTAGATTACCATTAGGTTTAAGAGACAGCAGTTGATACGGAGTCTGTTCTTTTGAGGTTGAGTGTTAATACAGCATTGCTAGGAATTGTATTGAAAGTACGAGTTCTTTAGTTACGGAGGAAAATGCGGCTGAACGTTTGTTTCAGGCCTACAGTGGTCTGAGACTACAGGAACTGCAGGAGGCCAAGGACCTTGTGGTGGTGGAGACAGCAGACATGCTCAGGGTACCTCTCTTCACTGCTGAAGCCCTGCTGAGAAATTTTGGTAGGTAGACAGCGCCATCGTTGTTGAGACCATCATAGCATTAGACATCCAAGATGTTTGATTTGTAAGGATGTGCAGTTGTTGAATTCTTGAGTCTTGATTTTGGAGTAAAACGTCTTTTGAAGGCATTAAAAAGTTAATACGCATGAAATGAAATTAAAAAGGTCTTTATAGACATCTGTACCAGAAGTTAACATCTGACAATTTAGACAACATTATAAAGTTTTGGCAATTGTTCCTCTATCTAATTAATTCAGAGTGGTCTAGAGAGTCTCTTCTGGAGGCGTGGATCCCGAACTCGAAGGAGTGCTGTGTCAGATGCGGCGTCAAGCCCCCAGAGAACCTGGACAGCTTTGCTGCCGAGCACAAGCTGAGCTCACTGGAGCCCAAGGCTGCCACTCCACAAGAAGAGCCTGTCGTGGTAAGTCCACATCATCAAACGAGACAGTCCCTGAGACAAAGAATCTGTGGCAGGTGTCATGCTCCATTGAAAGAGGTCGCCTGGCGAAATGGACAAATCTGTCAGGATAGTTGTGAAAAAAGGAACAATTGTGACCCACGATTCCGAAACCAGTGTAAAAAATGTTGAGGATTATTCCTTATTATATGGATAATGATGCCAATATGCAAGTGAATAATGGAAAGTTCACAGCTCTCATTACCTGTACCTACCAGAGCTTTCTGTGGATGTAACCTGCATGTACCTTGAATCGGTTTGAATTATAAATCGTAACAGTAACATAAAGGATTTGTCAAAAATTACTAAAACTTTGTTGAAATTTGATGTAGTTTTGAAATATTGGGCTACAATTGCTCCCAGTGCAAAGTTTATTAACTTCTGATGTACATTAAGGTTGTGGTTGTGGAGACTTACATGTATTGTTCACTGATCTAGAAAAGGTAATTTGAAGCCGTTACAATTTTTATACAAAGGCCACATATGCTCATTCAACGATCTTTGAACAGTGGAGTTCTCGGATCTTCCAAAATGCTTTCACAACCTAAGTTTAAGAAATACATGTGACATGAGTGTACGACTGGTTGCCGTATGGTATTAACAGAATCTCTGAAGAGTCCATTAAGCATCGTGAAGTCAAAGTGTTGGAGCCGGAGAGATAAGTTCACAAAACCCTTGTCCTTGCAACGAGTAGGACTGCCTTCAGTTGTTATTCCCACGTGCTGTCATTCAGCACTAAATCTTCATTTGCACGTTTTTCCCTTCTTGCAGTGTGATATTTGCACATCTACCGTACCAGCAGAAGATGTAAGCAGCACTACATTATGCACCCATCAGTTTTGCCGTGACTGCTGGGAAAGGTAAGGTTCAACAAGACAATCAGCCCGCTGGCTGGCCCGTTGTTCATCCAATTTGCTGCTGGCACCGTCAAAGCGGTGTTTAGTTTTGCACGCAGAACAATGAATTGGAAGTCATTGTCCCAAGCTGAGTGCTTTGAACAATTTTTATAATAGGCACAAAACCTGCCTTTGGCAATTTGTACCATGCGTCATCTTATGGCTGGCGAGATAAAGAGATGGCATAAAGCTGTATGATACACTGGCATTTCTCTGTAAATGTGATCCCAGGAGTTAGTGTTGGTTTTCACAGAAAATATCATGTCAGGCCCCAAGCTGGTAGTTTGTAGAAAAGCAGCCAACATTAACAGATAGTAAGGCTCTGTCATTTCAATATACTTCATGTATGATTACTCTACATGTGCCAACTTCAGTGAGTTTGTATTTGATATACCTCCAACAGGGAGTTTACAAAGGAGGCGGTGTATTACCATGGCAACACATAGTTTTACCAGATCCTTGATAAGTCCACATTTCAAAAGAAATCTCTGTGCTAGAGGGACATTACTTATGAAGAGACAGCGCTAGAGTTTTAGGTCCTAACTTACTACTACCATATGTTGGATCAGGATGCATTGTAATAAGCCCTTCCAGTGTGTCGGTCTCTTACAGAATGACTGCATTTGTTATTATTTGCCGAATGCCGTTTTTTTTTTTTCTTTGATCTATTTGATCTTAGATATCTGACTGGTAAAATCAAAGAGGGGAACGCACACGGCATTGTATGTCCAGGCTATGACTGTGATCGACTGGTACCGGTGGAAACCATTGAAACACTGGTATCCCGTGAGATGGCTAGACGATATCTACAGTTTGATATAAATGTTAGTCTTCCTAAGCGAACTCCACTAATGCACTCAGAAGCACCATTTAGATGTGTTTTGTGTATGTGCGGGTCCTACATGTCCTTTTTATGCGCACAAGATAGATAAATTTCATGCCATTAATATTTCCCTCCTTCTGCCATCAACAACGCGTGATGACAAGCTGAAATTCCCCAACATGTACCCACAGGGTTACACAGTAGCCTGAATTGAGGGTCATTTAGGCGCATGTGTGTCTCATTACTATGCTTAGGCCCCTATCATACCTCCATTGTGGGTCCAATTGCCATAACAATACTTTAGTGCTGAGTCAAGTTCTTAAATTGGAAAAATCTTTGGTAATCTTTCTCTGTCACAAAACCTGAAAAAAATTTAACTGCAGACACATTTGGAATTTTAGAGATCCATATGTTTGAAGAGGTAATTGATTTCCCATGTCAAATCTAGAAATATGGCTAAGAAAGCCTTCATATCAGTTTCACTTTTCTACCCTTACTAGAATAGAATGTATAGGCCTAGTGGTGAGTGTTTATGATTCATGATCAGTGAGTCATGGATTTAAATACAGCTAATGGACATTTGTACCCTTCTGTAAATTTTTACCCTACTGGCCTCTGTCTCTCCAGATATGTAAATTGCTACTAGCGTTGGCAATGAACTGGCAGCCCATCCTTGGGGGACGGAAATGTTCTTGCCTGTTTATTGCCTAGGAAAGGGACAACAAATACCTAATGAGTGAATTGATTTTGATATCGTAAACATTTTACATCATCTCATTTCTTTGTAGGCATTCGTCGAGAGCAACCCCAAGCTGAAGTGGTGTCCGGTGGCCGGTTGTGGGCGCGCTGTGCACATGCCCCAGCAGGATCCCCCCACCCCCTACGCCACAGGCAGTGACAGACCAAGTGGGGCAAGCAGTCCCTCCACCCCTCCCTCTATATCCCACGCAGTGGACTGCGGCCAGGGGCATATATTTTGCTGGTGAGCAGACTCATTTATTGCTCGCTCTGAATGGTTTATTTTTAAATTGGTTTGAAGTACTCCAATGAGGACTATTCTTAAGCCCACTAGAACTCTGAGGTAATCTAAATTGAATCTTTTCATTTTTTTGGTTGAACACTAAAGCTCTGTTTTATTGGATTGCAATCAGCTGGTTTCTTTTCAATTTGGGTAAAAAGGTTCAGTCTAAAGGGTTTTGTCATTGCCCCCCAAAGATTAACCAATTTCTCTTTTCCATGTGAAGTCTTTCTTCCTCCCTTCTACTCAATGAATACTTAGAATGTAGAGGATGAGATGGGTCCGACAGAATAAGGTCCACTTTATTACACACTCAAGCATTTACATGCAGCAAGGTATGAGACGGAGAGAACCCCCCCTGCTTTGTGTTGGTCATTGTCTCGCAGGAATCTGGGGAGTTCCTTTCAGACATCTTGGGGGGATGTGTTAAGTAACAATAGTCTGGAATGTGTATAGGGATTGGACATGTTGGGGGGTATCCCTCGGTCTCATTCCTTGCTGGGTATACAAGCTTTCTAAATTTCTTACCATTCTGAATTTCTCATCAAGTTCTAAGTAAAAAGTTCTCTTTCAAATCCCTGTCATTCTGTGCTTCGGTACCATAATGATATTGCCTGATCATCAAAGGTTATCCCCCAAAATAGTTGAGTCATAGTGTTAGGATTCTCGTTTATGATTCCTCTTGGATGGGCATTGTACGTTGTCAGTCATGAACATGTTGCTGTTGCTGCATTGTTAAAACACTGTTACAGTTGTATGCTTCCAAGTTGGCATCACCCTGGGAATGGCTTTGAGAGTGTTTTTGTGTGAAGTCATTTCACCTGAAACATGCCATGGGCCAAGTTCATAGAACTGCTTAAGCACAAAATTTGCTTAAATGCAAAAACCTTGCTTAAAAAAACAAAGGCTGCTCAAAATCTATGTGATCGGATGATCATGCCAACCAAAAGACAGGTGAACACCATTCCAAAACAATATACATCACGTGGAGTTTTGGTCGGTAACCTGATTTGTCAAGCAAGGCTTTTTCACGCTTAAGCAAATTTTGTGCTTAAGCAGCTCTATGAAATTGGCCCCATGGATTGTAGAGTCTCCTGTTGTATTACTTTCTGCAGGGACTGTAGTGGAGATGCCCACGAGCCCTGCTGCTGTGAGAACTGGAAAAAATGGCAGGACAAGATTGCCGAGATCAAACCGGAAGAACGTAAGAAGTCCCGTCAAAACTTCATAAAACGTGGTGGCGTTCAGGTGCCGTAAATGGACTTGGACTCTTAACTAGTTCACCCCTTCATTTTTGTTTGTTGTTTGTTTGTTTATTTTGTTGAGCCAGTGGCCAGCACAGATACCGAGACGGAATTAGCAGCCAACTGCCTGTGGCTTGTCACCAATGCCAAGCCGTGCCCCAAGTGCGCCGCGCCCATCCAGAAGAACGACGGCTGTAACCACATGAAATGCACCAAGGTACTGGGGAAATATTCAAAGTGTCAAGACAATGGGTCTTTGTGCTCGTAATGAAATCATTCACTCCCTAAGGATTGATTAGAAACTGTTTATATCGAACATACAGGTGGGGTCTGCACTTCATCCTATTGTGTACAGAATTTTCATGGGAGCTGTTTCAAGATAACAGACGACTGCAGCTTAGATTAAACAATGGTGATAACTTCTTTCGTGTCTTCACTGCAAATAATCTCCACTGTTGGGATATTGGGATATGATGTTCTTTGTCACACTCACTTTCATAGCCTCTGTCAGTGCTCATCCAGATGCAAAACTTTTTTTTGCAAACCGTTTTCGACCAAAAATTTAGATTTAACATTGAATCAGGTTTTACATTGTATTACAGTAATTACCATAAGCCGTAACATTTGTGAACAAGAGGCCAGAATGTGCATGAACATGATGTCGTGAGCTAATTATAGACTGAGACTGTGTCCTGAATTTAATATTGGGGTGGTACAGTGTAAGATGTTTTGTAAAATGAGCAATTCATTGAAATATTGGGGTTTTTTTTCAGTGATGCATTGTAACATGCATGTGTATCAAGTGCAATCCAAGAGCTTGTGAATAAAATTACAGGATGGGACTACAGGAGTCGAAATGAACTTCAACCTCTTGGTGGCCCACAGGGCCAGTGGGGAAAGTGCACTGGCCCTTGTGAAAATTTAGTAGCCCGGATTGAGTACATGTAATGAAATCAATTAGGCCCACCACACATGCCCATTTGTGTCAGTCAAACTTTTCCACCAAAACAGCTGATTCGCCAGCCTGGCTGGATTTAAGTGCACTTTTTTGAGGCCAAAAAACTAGTTCTGCTTCTGGTTACGCGACCGATCCTAAATTTATATTGGTATGTTAGAAAAACACATTTAAAAATGAAAAAAAAAGATGAAAAACAAATCCTGTCTTTCCTGTGTTCACAAAACACCTCTCAACAATTTTTCAGATCTAAAGGCTTGTATTTTTGTTTGCCTGTTTACATTTACAACATTTGGAAAGAAAGTTCCATTATTTTTGACAAGTTCCCTTCGCATTTCGCTAGTGCAAGGCTTCACTGGTTCCTGCTGCGCCGCGCCACTGCCCAAGAAGGCGTAATGGTAACACAGCAACCACTACAGGCAGCCTGGTCAAAATAGCGTTGTACAATTCACCGTACACACGCAACTCTACAGCTGCACATCGAAAAAAAAGATGTCGCAGGAAGATTTCTACAAGTTAATTCCAAGAACTTGATTCATTGTCTATATCCATTTATGTATTTTTTGTGTTTATAAATTTAATTTAAGGTTATATTGCTTTTACATGACAATCAGCCCAATGTGGACTTGATGTGACACGACCTGTAAAGGTTTCATTGGTGTCCATGGGAGATAACGTTAAACTGGCATTGTTAGAAAATGATACCAGCCAACATATCAGTACTTAGGTTGTTTGCACATGTATTGGACAACCATGCAGTGAACAGTGTGTCCAGCTTTCACAAAACTGGTGT